CACTTCCCGTTGCAGAGGATGCGGCCTTGGGAGCTGACGCGAGCCGCGTGCAAACCGCACGGCCAACGGCCTGTTGTCTCGGGGCGCGCTTTGGGAATGCTGTCGTGTACCAGAGCACGAAGATTCCCAGCAAAGGAATTTGCGGCTTGCCGTACCAGGCTGCGCCCGGCGCCAAGGCTACGACTGACGAGCTCCCTGCACACCGTCTCTGAGCAGGGGCTCCGTCAGGAGCAGCCGGCGCAGGCACGGAGGCCCCCCGGCGGGCTCGGTGCGGACGACCTGCCCTGGCGTGCCAGCGCCGTCTGCTCACGTGTCATGGCACGGCCACCACTTCTGGTCGGTGTCAACACGCTCTGCACCCTGGCAGCTAACAGATGTCTGCTCTTGTCGAATGAACTGCTTCATGTTTCATGCACTGCTGGCCACACGCGTCACTATGGCAACATCATTAATTTCAGATCTTACCGAAACGTGCACCCCAATCAGACCTAATTACACCACACTGCTTTCTTGTCCACAAGAAGGAAACTGTAACGCACTCGCGGGACACCTCATTCTCTGTTCTGCTGGGGCAAACGAGAGGCCGCGTGATGGACGCTTCTTGTCAGAAAGCATACTGATGAGGCACAAGCCCGATCACAATCGCGCCAGGGACTGCCTTACGGTCATGTCAGCAGCGAAAGGCTCCTCACACAACAGCTCATTCGGTTAAGCAGATGATGTCTGCAAACGGTCTTACACCCTGAGTTCTCCACCCTCTACCAAACCACCCCCCCCATCAGACCCTCCGTGATGGTGGTGCCCACCGCTGGGCCCCGGCCAACTGCAGAGGACCTGAATCACTCACACGACGAGAGTAACACAACACAGAGCGCAGTTACTTCAGTCCCTGCCGGACGACGCTTCCCAGTAACACCAGATACACAGCTGCGCAGGACCCCCGGCAGGGCAGGGGAGCGCGAGCACGAGCCACGCAGCCCTCCTGGCAGACAACACAGGGCTCTGCTCGGAGGGTGGGGTCTGCCCGAGGCCGCACGCTGCCCAGAGGTGAGGGCCTAACCCCGGTGTGCCGGCGGCCTCCACCTGTGCGAGAAGCTGGTTTTTACAGAGTCGAAGTGGGGACAGCGCTAAGTCCTACTATGTGCTGGCACTGTTGTGGCAATTACACAGCTCGTCCTTGATGTCCTTCACCTGCAATCTGGTCCGTGTGGCCTTTAGAAGCGGCCAAGGCAACACTCCCTCCTGAGTGCCCTTGGGGAGGAGGACCCGTGAAGGGCAAGGGCCCGTGGCCCCGGGGCGAGGACAGGCACAGGGCTGGCACAGCGCGTGGCTCGCCGGACGTGCCGTGGGTGGCGTTCACCTCGTGATTACGCAGAAAGGGTCTGAAAAAGCTCAAGACCAAAAATTTTTAAAAACACTAAAAATGTTTAAGACTCCATGCAGCTCCAACACTAGGAAGCGATGACAGGGGATCCCTTCAGTGACTTCTGGCACAAAAAGGCCTTTTGGAAAATGAAATGTGTAAGATTTTCTCTCGTTCACATATTTTATATAATATTCTGTAATTCTTTTTAAATCTCAGAAGCCCAGATTATTTACCTTTGCTTTGTCAAAGCAGCAGAGTGAGACATGGGGAAAATGGGGTTTCACTTTATGACTCTGGGCAAAACCACTCATCCTTAACCTGGATGGAACTCAGAATTCAAAGACAAACGGAGGAGCTATGAAGAAACAGAATGATGACCCCATCACCATTTAAAATGCATAATAAAAAGTTGGATTTTAAGAAGAAATGATTTCACAAAATCCTTCTTCCCTTGCTGATATCGCACATCCAGAGACACAGGGAGAGGAGAGAGAACCAGTTACTCCTCAAGCATACTGTGAGCTGACTTAGGCTTCCTGTTTGTGAACTGACATGAAATAACAGGTACCACACTTAGGCGTGTTACATGCAGATTTAAGGGGCCACGAAAGCAGGTGGGGTGCAGACAGGACGGCCCAGACTGCACCTGCTCCCCGGATAAGCACGCCCCACGCCTAGAACACAGGGCAGGAGGCGAGCACAGGCCTCTGAGAGGGGAAGGCCCCAGATCTTTTTTTTTTTTTTTTAAAGATTTTATTTATTTATTTGAGAGAGAGAATGAGAGACAGAGAGCATGAGAGGGAGGAGGGCCAGAGGGAGAAGCAGCCTCCCCGCCGAGCAGGGAGCCCGATGCAGGACTTGATCCCGGGACTCCAGGATCACGACCTGAGCCGAAGGCAGTCGCTTAACCAACTGAGCCACCCAGGTGCCCCAAGCCCCAGACCTTTCTTGGTTCAACATTAAACTGTGACACCGTCATTGCTTGTTAGCATTCAACTGCAAACACTCCACGATTTATGCATTGTACTGATAATCGCTTCTGTTACGTTCAGTCTGGTTTTGTTGTCCAAGATGATGCCATGAACATTCCTGGGCTTGTCTCCTGCTGCGCGTGCGCACGTGTCTCCTTGGGGAACAGGAGCCAGAGGGGCACCGCGGTGCGGAGGCTGCTGGGGCTCGTCCGTCGGGACAGAGCGGTGGCCGCCAGGTAACGCCCCCACCAACGGTGCAGACAAGGTCCTGGGGCAGCGTGCGCCTCAGACAGGTCGGACTTGTCCACGCGGGGTGCGGCACTGAGACGCCCACCCTCTCACTTAGCTCCTGCTCAGGTCTTCAAACTTACATCCATGCAGGCTTTACACATGTTCTGCTTGGATTTATTTCTAATTACTTTATACATTTTGCTGCTATTCTAATTGGCCTTTTTGGAATTAAATGCCCCCACTGTTGCTGGCATGTGGAAACGTAGTTTAATTCTGACACTGAATTTACAGGTGTGACTAAGCCCTTCTGTAATCCGGCACCCTTTCCTCAGGGCTCCGTTGGGCTTCTCTGTGAACACGCACAGATCTGTGCACTTGGGGCCCAGCGTGCCTGTTTGTGCAGGACTCCGAGTGCACGCCGCTGTTCCTGGTTTCCGACTGCATTTATGCACAAGGTCCAGGCTGCTGAGTGCAGGGCTGAGTACAGCTGGGTTTCTTCCGCCGCCGGTGGGCAGCCTGACGGCCTCCTGTGCCGCCCCCACAGACCTGTGTGCTGTAAACTCACCGATTCTCCAGGACCCTCTTCTGTGGGGTCCCTTCAGGAACCATTTTGAGTTTGGGTTTGCTTCACTCCAGCTTCTCCATCAAAATAATCCCACCTGCCTCCGAGAAATAACTCAACCTCTGTGCAGGCATGCCTGTGTGTCCCCCACACTGAGATTTATTCTCTGAATCTTTCCCTGTCGGCTCAATGAGGTTGGGAAGGGAGAAATCTGAAGGCATTTCGCAGCCTACCTTCTTGAGTCTGAGCCCCTCATTACTTTGGGGTTCTTCGGACTTACGAGCATCACCTGACGGGACAGCCCCCGACATGCCACAAGGACCAACGTGACCACAACCAAATGCTGCTGGGGCGCCCGGCTGGCTCAGTCGGGAGTGTGTGACGCCTGATCTCGGGGTTGCGGGTTTGAGCCCCACGCTGGGGATAGAGGTTACTTAAATAAAAACAAAAAAACCCACTTTAAATTAGAAAACAAAACAAAACGACATGCCACAGGCAAACGGATTTTGACTGAACTGCAGTAAACCTATCACTTCATCGTGAAGGCAGGCTCTACTCAATCCCTCATCTTCGCGCTGGGGGCCTTGCGCTGGAGACCACAGTCTGTCCCTTCACTGGTTTACGTCTTCCTTCACGGTTCTCTGTAAGGTCTGATCATCCTCACGCACGTCCTTCACTCCCGTCTATGCCCATGCGTTTCACACGCGCTCGCGCTACCACGAGCGGGGCCTTCACTCTTCGGTCTGCTTGACACGCAGGGAGCTATTTTATTATTCTGACCTGTGACCTGACGCTTCATTGGTTCTTACTCTTAGCAGTTGATTCCCTTGGTTCATTATTTCATCTACAAATATTTGCTCCATCTTTCAGGCGTAGAGCTTATTTCTAGTTCTTGTCTTACTGCAACGGCCAGAATGAAACATGTGAAGTAACAGGGTTGTTAGATTTCTCTTTCTTTTTCCTGACTATGGTGAAGTTTTTTCTAGTATTTTATTAAAAATAATGCTGAATTTTATTTGAGACATATTTTATCATGTTATACAAGTATTCTTAGTTCTAGTTCACCAAGAATTACTAGGAAATATTTTTTGAGACTTACTTATTTTAAAGAGAGAGCATATGTGACTGAGGGGAGAGGCAGAGGGAGGGAGAATCTCAAGCAGATTCCCCCGCTGAGCACAGAGCCCAACGCGGGGCTTGATCTCACGACCCTGAGATCATGACCTGAGCTGAAATCAAGAGTCAACGCTCAAGGGACTGAGCCGCCAGGCGCCCCAAGAATTACCAGGAATTTAAACTATGAGTGAAGAAATCAGGGAGGGATTTAACCTGTTGCTAGGATTTTCACTGGATTCAGTTTATCTTTTATTTATCATATTAAGGATTGACAAGGATTCTTTGATGAAACAAAAGAAAAATGAAATAAGGGCAAATAAAATTCGGAGCAGGGACCTGAGGGTGGGATAGTCACTCATAGGCTCTTCAGGAGAACATTACTGTTAAAATACCAAACCCACACACGTCTTGTTACATTCTTCCAACAGTTCACAAGTATCATCCTGTAATAAACAGGCAAGCAGTATTTCCTCTCCAGAAGCCGCAGCTAGTAAAACAAAGAACGGTACGGCAGCAGAGACTCAAAAATATATAAACGTGTCATTTAAATCTCTAAGGATTTAACATTTTGCTAATTCTAATGATACCGTGTTTATTCGAAGGTGAAGGTTAGTTGGGTGCGAGTGTTCAGTGGAGTGTGGAAAATCCCAAATTTGAATGACTTCCATACGCCGCTACACACGCACGCACCAGGTCGCCCTGCACTGGATGCCGGCGAGCGCACACAAAGGCAAACACGAACCAGGAGCAGTACCTGTTTTGTCCGTCAGCAAGTACACCAGGCGCCCCAGGCCCTCTGGGATGGTGCTGGTCCGCACGACCGTGCCGGGGATGCTCTCGTCCTTCATGATCATCCATCCGTACGCAGCTTTGCCCATGTCCAAGTTCACACGCAAACTGCCAAACAAAACCGGTTCATCACAGTCGTTAGTTGGGTCCAAACCCACACAATACGTTCAAACTCATGTTTTCCATACAGACATATTATCTTTAATCTCACGTGAACTAAGTAGGTAACACCGTATTTCAGACTTTAAAATAAATGAATTTGTTGACACTTAAGCCAACAAACCTTTTTAGGTCCCTTATCATGTTTGTAGGCGATGGTAAACAGGCTCCTCACCCTGGTCCTCCAGCGGAGCGTGCAGAGGCAGATGCGGGAGGAGAAGGTGGATGTGCGTTAAGTACCCCCGCTCAGACACAAAGGAGAGATGGTGCGTGTGTAAGGAGATCAGGCAGCATCCCACTCGGAACAGATATTCGAAATGCACCATAACCTTCACCCGCTCATTTTACAAGAACAAACAGGATGCTTTCCTGGGACGATGACTGCCAGACCAAACACATCCTGGGAGGACTGGGCCCCTCAGAACACCAGGCTTCCGAGCCAGGGCAGGGACCTCCCTGAGGCCCGGGACGGTGGTGTGGCCTGAGCAGAAGCACCGTGGGGGAGAGCGGCAGGAGGTGGGATCAGGCGTGGCGGGGGCCAGACCATGGTGCAGATCGTGGGTTTCACAGTCAGGGAGATGGACAAAGGGCTCTTCTGTGACCTCAGCGGCACTCAACTCCCTGCGGGGCTCACTGACACACTCACTCTGCTCCCACCTTCACACGTACCCAGCTTTGCTCTCGTTCACATTCAGACTCAAGACCATTCAGATATGCTTCCAATTCTAGAAAAAAATCTGTGCCTGATTTGATTTGGTCAAGAAAATAGCAGATGTGGGGCGCCTGGGTGGCTCAGTCGTTAGAGGTCTGCCTTCAGCTCAGGTCATGATACCAGGGTCCTGGGATCGAGTCCCACATCGGGCTCCCTGCTCCGCGGGAAGCCTGCTTCTCCCTCTCCCACTCCCCCAGCTTGTGTTCCCTCTCTTGCTGTGTCTCTGTCAAATAAATAAATAAAATCTTTAAAAAAAAAAAGAAAATAGCAGATGTGATATGTGATACAGCTACACAATGTGGGGAAGCTGCTGGCAGTCACTCATTATGACCAACATGGCAATTCATACAGATCTACCTACTAAGAAACGCACTCTTGAGAAGCAACATGGAGGACTCAGTCAGTGGAGAGAGTCCAGTCTGTAGGTAAGTTAAAGAAAATTAAAATAATCATAATGAGCTATTTGTCCATAAAGCTCATATCTTAAAAATCCTAAGAACTCTGCTGGTCAGAAAGAAGAGTTTTAATTGACAAGTACACAGACTTCCACAGGCAGGCAGGAAGTTTTCAAGAGTTCACGGGGTGCTGCTGGGCTTGGGGAGCAGTGGGAGCCCAAGGAGCACCTTCTGGGTTCATCCGCGCTGCTCTCTTCAAATCATGAACGGTAAGAATTTGTTATTTCACGAAATACTGAGTCACAGATAAACGCCAGGGGACTATTTTCGGCTTACGGCACACACCCGCAAGGCCAGTGAACAGAGAATGCGGATAATCTTCAAGGAAAAATAAAACACAAGTTCACTTTACAAGTGAAAACTATCATAGAAAATGTATCTTCAACTAAGACTGAAATACCACACAGGAAGCAGAAGCTTGAGTTTATACGCATCGTGTATTTTGGTCAAACGTTCATATAGTTTGCTTTTTAATGTTAAAAATCTCTAGAAGCTCAAATCTCAAACACTAAGTTCACAGAGTAACCATAATTATCACCACTATACTTACTTTTTAGTAATGTGCTAATTTATAGAATTTTAAAATTTAGACCTCCGCTCGTCTAGTAAAGTACTTCACAGTAACATGACTTACGAACAAAAAAACATGAAGCCTACCATTTTGAGAATTACAGAGGTAGATTATAAGGTAAAGGATACCAGTTATTTTAAGCTCATTTTATTGCTAGCTGACCCAACTGTGATCCATTTCAAATTAAGTGGAAAAGCTGTCTGCCATTTTAGACGGTCAAGTGAACACGAAGGCCATCGTGATCCTCACTGTGACACACACCGAAACGGAGCCCCTGGACTCTGCGGAGCGTCAGGAGTCTCAAGAAGGGGCACCAAAGCTGAGCACAGGAGCACAAGGCTGACCGCGGAGCAGGCACCTCCCGGGGGCTCTTTCCTGACCAAACAGTCCCGCCCGGCCTCACCTCACCACCGGGCAATGTCGGAGGAGGGAACCCGGGCCCTGGATAAACAGGAGGCCTACTTCCCTCAGTGCCGTGATGGGCCAGGACCCCGTCAGCCTGCATGGTGCCCGCTGCGTTCAGACTGTCCTCTGATATGATGGGGCGGTGGCGGTGGCGCTTGGTGGCGCTTGGTGGCGCTCGGGCTCGCAGCTGAGCCAGGCCCTGCGCCTGCAGCGCTCCCCAGGGAATGCAGCCGCCCGAAAGGGCTCGCACACTCCTGCCTGCCTGAGGCGTATGTGTAGATCCTAATCTGAGCACAAATCATTTTAAGGACAAGTTCTATCAAAAGTAATCAAAGCTTTTTCCTGTCAATTGTCATCTATGGGAAATGGCACAGATGCCGTTTTATCTGAATCTCCCCCCAAATTTTTCATTTTGTGACATCTTTAACCTCTTTTCTGGGGTGCGGAGCCCGACATGGGGTCTGAACCCATGACCCCCAAAATCAAGACCCGAGCTGAGACAAAGCGTCGGATGCCCACTGAGTAAGCCATGCAGGCGCCCCATCCACCTCTTCCTGACACACCGTGGATGGCAAGGGATGGCACCAAGATCCTACTGGCTGAACTCTCCCAATGCTGGGCACGTGGAGGGTGACATTCAAGTCTCTGCTAGGAGTCTGGACCTCTGTCCTGGGCCTGAGACCAGTGTATTCTGTTGCCTGCAGACGATCCTACCTCAGACTCACCACAGATCCCTCTACATGAATATATACCATGGACGGTAACATTCCCCCTTCGTCTTCCGGTGCCAGACAAAACAAAACAGACAAATCTACTCTTTCTCAAGGAGGAGGAAACACTCCTTGGGACCACCTGTCACCTGAGCCAGAACTGCCGAAGGACTCCAGGTTCCTTTTCCCTTTCATTTCCCTTATCTCAATAATCAACTCTGGCCCGCTCAACCTCCCCAATTCTCTGAACCCCCTTTTTATGCTCCATCAGGAAGAAGCATGGCTAACTGAATTTTACAGGGTTAAGGTCAGGTATGACTTGTACTGATGGTTAATTTCCAAATTTACCAGTTCTATGATCTTGGACAAACGACCCACTTGATCTGAGCCTCGGTCACACACAGTACCTGTAAAACGCCCTCTAGGGTAGGGTCACTGTGGGTATTGGCACTAACGCATAAAAGCAGGTTACTGAATTATGTCACTGGAGCAGAGGATCACCGGTCTCCACAGTCGGGAGAAGGTTTTATAGAGAAGATGAGCCCTGAGCTAAAAGGGAATGGACCGGGGCGGGCAGCACGTCTGTGCACCACTAGGTGAAGGCAGGTCGTCGGCAAGGCTCCAGAGCTCAGAAGCTATAGATGCTACGTAAGTGGACGAAGGTGGGTGCACACCCAAGTACCCTGAGAGTCCGTCGGAACCGCATCCACCACTGCATACACAAGGGTACACAAAACGGACAGCCCTCGGCCCTAAGCAACAGAAAACCCGGTAAGGTGTGAAAGCAGTTTAAACTGGCATATGCAAAATTCTACATCACATTATTAAGTTTTTGAATGGGTGCGGGAAGATTAGAGATTGGAATGAAGTAGGAGAAATAAATGGAGCATCCGTGTTCCAGATCAACTGAAGCAAAGAAATGCCGGAGCCACAAGGAGAGTCAGAAGCTGCGAACGAGGCAGCGGGACGCCCGGGAGCGCACCAGGACCTGGGGCCCCCGGAGGCCTCCGAGAACGCACCCTTGCTCCGCGCCACACTTCGGGAGACGGGGCACAGTAAGGATGGTCTTCAGGGAGACTCACCTCTTCGCCTTCCGTTCAGAGTGACGTCAGCCCCACCTCCTCAACATCCCCCACGATCAAATATTAATCATAGGCTCAGATATCGGGGTGAGTGGCAACAAGGTAATTCAGGCCTTCCCCACCATCCAGAGTTGTTTCGGTGTCTACGTGGGGGCCACGTGAAATACTGCGTACACTTTGCACCAGCTGGAGCTCAGAGGACCACGAGTGTGTGTGTGTGTGTACTGACAGGTAAAACACACCACAGAGCAGCAGCATAAAGGTATTTATGCAGGAGTGAGGCCAAATACGTGTGTCAATACGTGAAAGGGATAAATATTCCTATTAAAGGGCAGGCACTTCCTGCAGTTCATAAATAAGTAAAAGTACTAATTATATGCAATTTGATACACCTTAAAATCAAATGTCTCTGGTCGTCTAAGAGTAAAGGAATGGCAAAGATATATAAGACCCCAAATGAAGCATGTTGGTTGTGTCAAAATATTCCTAAGAAAGTTAACCAGGCAAAAAAAGACCAGATGGAAAGGCTGAAGGCAGGGACACCTGGGTGGCTCAGTCAGTTGAGCGTTCGGCTCAGGTCATGATCCCAGGGTCCCGGCATCGAGTCTCCTGCTCAGCGGGGAGCCTGCTTCTCCCTCTGCCTGCCCTTCCTGCCCCTTCCCGTGTTTGTGCATGTGGTCTCTCTCTGACAAATAAATAAATAAAATCTTAAAAAAAAAGAAAAAGAAAAAGAAAAGGTTGAAGGGAGAAAATCAGATGCTTTTCAAGGTTGGAAAAGCTCAGCTCAGCTCTCTACCGAAGGGGTCAGTAACTACAGTGAAACCAGGGCAGAGGTTGGAGGGGTGGGAGGAGGCGCCCCCAGCGCCCCCACTATCGTCCCCCGCACACAGAGCGGGGATGAGTCACGCCCTTGCTGGGCTGCAAGGCTGCGGCCGCAGAGGCCCACCCCTGCTCCGAGGTCGGGCCGGGGCACCGGGCCTTGCGGATCCAGGCTATGCACAGTGAGGCCCTGCT